AAACTAAGATCTCAAAATAAATCCTAAGTTTCTCAAATACAGAGTAATTTTACTTTTCAAGTTTCGATTTTTTCCTTTTGTTCAAAATCTGGGAAATTGACAAATACGGTTAGTTGTAAATAGTTGCAAATTGACGACAAATACGGTTTTTATGGATTGATTGGACAATGGAAAAATCTGATCGATATCCTTAAAAATCCATGTACCTATCTATGTAACACGTACTTACAAAAAAAAGAAATATCATTTATACAGTGTGGCCCATTTTAAATAGATACATTTTGTGTAAAAGAACAATATTTTTTCTTTTTAATTTGTTTTTCTTTTAAGGTAGAGCTTAAATAAAAGCATAAAATATGAACTAATTTATTCTCTTTAATATTTAACTTCAAAGTAAACAATATTTTTTATTTTAATGGATGAACCATTTCACTATACGAATAACAAATAATGACATAAGCCTTGAAAACACACAAAAATTGCTATCTTGATTTAAAATTTTTGAATTTTTTCTCCGTTTTGTCTTTGCATTTATTACCTTTCTTTCGAATATTTTTTGTAACAGTTCTTAAATGTTTGGGGTGTAATTCTGCAAACCCCAATTATTTCCCATCCTAGTTTTTCTTCTTAAGTTAGACGTACTTTGTATTATTTTAATTCTAGAACGCCTCAAATCAAGAAGCGTAACATTTAAAAAGAATAAATTAGTGACCATTTTATTTATTTATTTCACTTATGATCTCATAGATTGCTTACTCATTTAGAAAGAACAGAAATCGTAAAACACTTTAATTTAATTTTATAATTAGCAATGAGTATTTCTTCACAAAATTTGGTGCAAAACCAATTGACAGTAACATACCAGGTTAACTGTTAATTATTCTCTATAGTCGCTTTCCTTATGAGTATGAGTATTGTTAACTGTTTTTTGTTAAAATGACATAAAAGAGGACCCGACCATAGGCCACCTAGACTGGCTATAGGGCGATTATGATCAAGGCAGTTGGGAGCCTAGTCGGTAGCCCCAGCATCAGTCGTATCTGGAAACATGAGTTGTACGTGTCGCTTTAATTTCAATAATAAGTTATTTTTTCATGGGCAAATGTAGGACATTGTATAAATAGAAGTGAACAAGATAGTGACGAGAGCCGAAATGTTTCCTTTTCTAGATAAGTAAAATAAACAATATATAAAACATAAATTTGAGCCATTATATACGCCATTTCTTGGTTAAGGTCAGAATATTCCAGGGTTGACTTTATAATTTTGTTCGCACACAGAGTGTAATGGTAAACGTGATATTATTATAAATTGTTAATCAAATAATGAATAAATTATTGTATCATATTTTTAATAATTATTTACTTTACGTAAAAGTCTCCAATTTATATGGATTTTTTCCAATTCCCGTAATTTTGAGGGAGCTGAAAATTAATGTGATATTATTTTTTGCGATCGAAAAAATAACAAAAAATTAATTTCAAATTAATGTTCAGCACCCTGGAAAAGGGGGGTTGGCAAAATTTGATTAAAAAAATCTGAGTTTTATGGCAAAATAAATAATTACTAGATTTTTATAATCCCTTCGATTTTTCGAATATAATATATGAATTTTTACAGATTTCCAAAGGATGTTGAC